CCCCAAAACCCCAAAACCCCAAAACCCCTAATCTTGCTAAAAGATTGAGAAATTGGGATATCAATATGTCTAATGCCAAGTTAGACAACATCTGAGTGTTAGCAACTGTTATATGCACAAATTAATGAGCTTTTAGTTTAGTTTTGCACTTCCATGCTTCAAATAGTAGTTTATCATTTTAGTCATCTCTTTTACGCTATAACTGAAGTTTAGGCGAGCTCGCTTTCCTTTTATTGCAACTGAGTGTAGATCATAATTTCTGGCTGCTTCTAATTCATCAGTGAATGTGCCAATGTACTTCTTTTTACAATCCACAGTGATAGAAGCTTGCCAATGAATGTTGTTCTTGGTGACTCCAATATATCTAGACCTTCTTTCAAAATTCCTATCCGGCCTTCAAGTATTTTTAAGAGAAGAAGTAAATGCAGAGATACGACGATTCCTCAGAAGTCTCTTTAGTTTCAAAAGGTTTGGTTTGATATCGAAATCTTCTGAACGTCTTGATCTTTTTACCACTTCTTTGATGCCTTTGCTTATATTTTCGTCTAGAGATTCTTCAAGCTGAGGTTTATTGACCCTTATTGAAGATTGTGCATGTTTTAGCTTCACATCACTGTTGATATCTAAACTTGTGGAGTTTAGCTCCAATTTTTCTCTAGATTTATGGTTAGCATAATTTTTTAACAGATCCAAGTTTCTAAAATTTTAATAAAGTGCTTGCTTTATAGCCTTACTTTGCTTTAGAATCATGGGAATTTGTTTGAGAGGAGTAATAGGGGGAAGCACTGTTGATTTGGATCTCGAGATCAGGTAGGTCTGAAAGGCAGGCTCAATATACGGAATTGATACTTTTAATAAGTCTTGAGTAATTCCAAGAAGGTAAGAATTGATTTTCTCAATTGTCAAAGTTACTGCAAGTGTTCATTTTAAAATAAATACACAAATTATAAAATTATTTATAGCAAGTCTGGAGTAATTCTTAAGATTAATTTCCGAATTCTTCCAAAGAAAATAATTTCATCTCCAATGAAAACTGATAGACATAAAAATACCGTAATATCACACTCTACCCCTATCTTCACAAAAAATTCCAAAAAACCACTTATCCAACTAAACCCTATTTAATTCCTCTTACCTTACCAACCCCCATTCCCCAACTCCTTAGCACCCTTTCTACCCCTCCTCTACCCCTCCTTCTACCCCTCTTCTACCCTCCCAACCCCTCCCAACCCCCTCTCCCCCTTGCATCCCCTAAACCCCCCAATACCCCTTCTAAAGCTCCTATAAAATCCCTCAAAACTTCAATCTTCCATTATCTTCATGGGGTTTTGGGGTTTTGGGGTTTTGGGG